TGCTAAGGATTGCCAGTGACACCCGGAAGCTAAGAGAAACATAAGAAACATATTCTCCCCTAAAGCCTTCCAGACAACATGCCCGACTGACGACACACTGTAAACTTTTGCCTCCAGAAATGTGAAAATAAAATTCTATTGTTTTAAGCCACCTAGTTTGTGGTAACTTGTTATGGCAACCTCAGGAAACGAAATCAAGGAAGGATACATCACATGCTTCTGTAAATAGTATAACATTAATTAAATCTACTGGTTTTATTTTGAGATAAACAAACACAACATCTAAGTGAGATGTTATGGCTTGAATGCTGGTGTCTCCTATAATTCATATAGTACCCAATGTGATACTATTAAGAGGTGGGGCCTTTTGGGGAGTGATTAAGTCATGAAGGCTCTGCCCTCACGAAAGAGGTAAGTGCTCTTATAAAAGAGGTTGAAGGGAACTGTCTTGCCCCTTCCACTAAGTGAGGATGCAGCAGCAAAGGGCTATCTTTGAAGCAGAGAACGCACCCTCACCAGACACCATATTTGCTGGTGCCTTGATCTTGGGCTTCCCAGCTTCCAGAACTGTGAGAAATCAATTTCTAATATTTATAATCCCTAACTCAGTTTAAGGGATTTTGTTATAGCAGCCTAAACAGACTAAGCTACAAGGTGAAAACTGCTTGGAAAACCTCAATACTTTGATTAGAAAATAAATATTAATAGTGAACAGCAGAGGGCATTACTGATCAGAATTTAGAGTGAAGACTGGAGAACTTACACAGTCCACCGCAAAGCTCCATTTCAGGCAATGGACAGTAAGCAGAACTGGTCACATTTATCAGTCCCAAATTTGAACAAATGAGCAAAAACATGAGAATTTTCTTGGACAGTTAAAAGAATGTAAATTTTCTGATTTCCATCTATAAGCAGTTAATATAAACTGAACTAATATACTTTATGTACAAACAAACAGCCACCCTGGCTAGGCAACCCCTTACTCTCCCTTGCCACTATAAGACTATACTGTTGCTTAGGCTTTCCTCATCTTACTCCTGTCCAAGTGTCTCTGTTTAATTTTCCTCTCCAAGTACTAGCTGGAAAGTCTGCTGTGTCAAGAGAAGCAAGAAGCAAACTGAAAATGGAGGAAAAAAAAGGAAAAGGGGTTGAGAATATCAATCTACGGGATAAAGGTGAAGAAGGGAACGACCTTCCTGCCATTGACATAGGATATACAACTAAACTCCTCCTTTTAGCAAGGTGAGAGGAATCAGAAATGATGCATGAACGAAGTGAGGAGAAGGAAGGGAAAAAGGAAGAAGGGCTATAAGGGGAGGATAGGTGAGATAAAGAAGAGAAGCAAGAAGAAAAAAGCCCCTCCCTAAAGCTACTCCTCATTTCCTTCTTACTACCTTCAGAACTTCTTTTTAAAGTTCTACCCTCCCCTACGGTCTGTCCTTTCAGATCATCCCTGCTCTAGGAGTTGCTACCAGTTTTAGGAATTGGATGAACCCCTACACTTTCACCCCCATAGCTGATTAGCAGGAAAGAGCATGAGTACAAAGGAATTCCCTGTATCAGCTTGCAGATGTACAATAGGAGGGGCTATGTCATCATATTTAAAGAATATTCACTTCATGGTCCCATTAAAATTATTACATATAGGCTGGGCACAGTGGCTCACACCTGTAATCCCAGCACTTCGGGAGGCCAAGGTGGGTAGATCACCTGAGGTCAGGAATTCAAGACCAGCCTGGCCAACATGGCAAAACCACATCTCTACTAAAAATAGAAAAACCACCCAGGCATGGTGGCAAGGCGCCTGTAATCCCAGCTACTCAGGAGGCTGAGGCAGGAGAATCCCTTGAACCCAGGAGGCAGAGGTTGCAGTGAACTGAGATTGTGCCACTGCACTCCAGCCTGGGTGACAGAAAGAGACTCCATCTCAAAAAAAAAAAAAAATTACATATAATATCATATGTAATGATATAACTGTTAGGTCCTGAGTACCATTATTCTTATAATTTAGGGCCAATATAGTTAAATAAAATTAGCGGGCTAGTCTAAAAGCAAAAGGTACTATGTATAACAGTGTTACAGGAAAATGAGTTATAATTCCCAATAACCTAAATTTTTAGAATGTAATCTGTTTCATAAATGGGATACCAATTCAACACTATAAATTTTCAAAATAAAAACAAACAGAATATATCAAATTTAAACGACTGATACATATACATACATACACAAACATACTTGTATTCCTAGAGGTTGCAATGCATTGGTGAAGAAAAAAAATGAAAGATTGATTGCAGCCATATCAGACCTTATATAAATATGGGCAAAAGAATTTTTGTTCTCATGAAGAAAAGAATGAAAGGATTCTGAGAAGAATGCTCTGACCAACCAGTTACAATGTAAAGAGGACGGCCAGGTAGACTCTAGAGACAATGAGAGCAGTTAGAAATCTAATGCAATGCTCTGGGTGAAAAGTAATTATGAGTTGTAAATAATCCCACAGATCAAAAAAACACCCAAATTAAATAAACTAAAATCCTGTTAAATAGACTGACCCAGACATTCAAATGAGATTTACTAACTGCTAAAGAAAATAAGAGTTGCTGTTTAAAGTGTTGTTAGCCCAAATTTTACCTGTGCATCTGACTGTGACATCTGCTCAGCTAACTGTAAACAAGAATGGAAGGAGAAAAGAATGTCTTCACACAAGCTAGTAATTATATCTTTGTGTTTCAACTGGCTCTTTATAATGGACTGGTGCTTGAGACTCTGCCTAAATGAATAAAAAGAATACAATCACCACAAGTAATACATCAAGTAACTTAGGACCATTAACAATATCCACCTTATAGAACATTTTTTAAAAAATCACAAAGCATCATATATGACATAATATAACTAAGATGTGTCTAGTTTACCTCTGAAGCAGTTATGTTTGTTTAAGTAAGTTACTAATTTTTTTTCTCTGTGTAAAACATTAATTGAATTTTTACTACGTACCAGGCACTCTACCAGGCCCTGGGGATGGAGGGGTCAAACAAACAGACACAATCTCTGACTTACCTGCATGAAATTTGTGGTCTAGCCTAAGAGAGAATATTAAATAATTGTAAGAATAATTAATTAGGGCTGTCATAAATGCTCAAATGACAAAGTCTAAAGTGCTACAATAGAGAGATCTAACCTAACTTATTCTTAGAGTAAGGATATCAAATAAATGTTATCATGAAGATACAGGAGAGAGAAGCATCCTAGGCAGATGGAAAAACTGTGAGAAGGCTCCGGGACAGGAGAGTTTGGTATGTTTAAGGAACTAAGAGCAGGTAGAAAGCAGCATGAGACAGGCTGGTGAAGGAGGCAGCATCCACAGAGGATTAGGTTGCTTTACTTAGTAAAATGGGATAGACTTTATGCAATAGAGTGACATGGTCTTATTTACTTTTTAAAAGATTATTCTGCTGGGTAGAAAATAAATTGGAAGGGGGTAAGAGTGGAAGATATTCAGTGATGGTGATAGTGACGTGGCTAATTCCTTGTGCATTAACTATGTGTCATGTACAGTTCTAAGCATTTCACAGTGATGAACTGAATTCTCACTATAACCTTGCCAAGAAGGTGCTATTATTTCCATTTTCAGATAAGCAAACTAACGTTCAGAGAAATTAACCAACTAGCCCAAGGGCTTGGAACAAGTAAGAGATTTCAGAATGGATTTAAGCACATGTGACATGGCTTCCAGGCAATACTCTTAACCACCGAACTATTACTTTTTTGGTAACTTAATGTCTTGGTAGTACTACAAAAGCACCCAAGACCTGAAAATACACTGACCTTAAATGTTTTATGTATGTGTATAAAGTAGATATTCTTAACTATTTTTACATCTCAACCACATCTCCTCTCACCCCTAAGAATCTGATAAATGCTATCGTTATGGGCACTCTCCCTGGTGACCCTTTATAATGCTTCAGTTTCAGAAAGTTAAAATTATTATATAAATGGAATTAGCATGAACAACTTAAAAGTACTTAATGAAAAGATTATATTTAGTTCTAATTATAGTTACCAATTTATCTAATCCTAGAAATAGGCTACTTGACACCTGGTTAAACAATAGAAACAGCAAGAAAGTGGTTAAGTTCTAATCTGGCCCATGGCCCATTATTTCTGAAGTACTAGCTAACTAGGAAGAACAACTTTCAATAATTTTAGAGAACACAAGGTAAAGAAGTTCAATTTGGCTTGAGAGCTGCATGTCGAGTATCTAGATTATCAGACAGCAGTGTCAGTGAACATTAAATTCACACAAAATGTTCAAATGCAATCTAAAGAATCACGAATAATTAAGATTAGGGAATATGAAAAACATTTTATAAAAAGTAAAAAATAGAAAACTTACTTAATTATAAACTTCCAAGTATTGGCATGAAATGCATGGTCCATATTGGAAATAACAGAGCAGATATCCAATAATGAATGAATAACTGCAAAGAAAGATAATAGAACTTTTAAGATATCCAAATGTCATGGGGTGAGTTTCTCCAATAATTAAAAGCATCTAATGAACAATTTCAACATTTTATTGAATTAAAATAGGTAATATCGTTTGGAAATAGTTGTGTCAAAAGAATTATTTAAACTATTTGTCACATTTTTAAGGTTTTTATAAATTTTGAAGTTTATACCTACCCAATGACCTAAATAAAACTACAAATGTTCAGAGGAATAAAAGTTGTACCCTGTTATCACTGAAATATTCTATAGATATAATTCTAATCCAAAATAATAAAACAAATTGCTAAGGAAAGAAAACCTAAAAAGGAAGAATTCAAATTAATTTACATGGTATTCATGCAAGGCTTTTACTAAGCCTGTGGTGGATTACTTATAAAAATGGCCACAATAACTGCCCTTTGTGAATCCACACTTTTCCACAATGACTCTGGGCTAAACCCTATGACGTGCTTTGACCCAGGGGACAATCATAAATTTAAGGCAAGCAGGAACTTGAAAAGTGCTAGCATACAGGGACCTGCTCACTCTTGCTGCTCTCAGAAACCCTGAAACCACTGGCATCAGGTATCTGAGCTGGGTGAGCCTACTGGATAAAGCACTTGGCTTTCTCAAGTACTTCTGCCTCTGTCAACAATCATATGTGAATGAAGTCACTGAAGTCACATGAGTGAGTTAGTGCCCCAAGTGGATCAGAGAAATTTGTCTCAGGGGATCCCATCCTGAACTGCAAACTCACAGAAACATGAATAAACAGAATAGTGAATAAAGATTCTGAGGTGGTGTGTTTGCAGGGCAATAAGTACCCGATACACTGCACAAAACCAACTTACTCTCTTTATACCAAAGTGTTGAATGCAAACTTTGCCCTTACACATTAGAGTATTGTTTTTCAAACTCTCAGTCATAATCCATTAATGAGTGATGAAATCAATGAACTGTGTTACAATCAGCAATTCTTTAAACTAGTATAGAGTGCATCACAGGTAAAATGAGTATATTTTATTATAATAAATATGTCTATGAGAATAGACATATTTACATACACATAAGCACGTATTTATATGTATTCTGCGAAAAATAAAAACTGCATCTCAATATGCGTTATGGTTAAGAAATATGAAAGTTATTGTCTCAGAATATGGACAGCCTCAGAGATTATAAAGTTATTTAAGTTAATCATTGTGAAGAAATGACAGTAACTGAATATGCAAATCTAGGTTAAGGTACCTAAAATAAATTTTAAAAATTCCAAATTTAAAGATTAAAAATTTGGTAAGATTTAAATCATTTAATGCATGATTAGTAGGAAAATAACATGAATCATTAGAGACAATTTTAATTAATACATGACTTATAGTCACCATATAAAGCAGAAGTTTTCTTCACTCACCTATTACCATATTCAAAATATCATCATTCTCATCTACTAAAGGGTCCATGCAAACCATGTCCAGCAATTCCATTAGCTGCTTTTGAAGAGAATAGGCCTCCTTGAAAAGAGCCTGGAGGTGGTCTGAAACTAGGTGTAAACGCCCAGAATACACAGATTCACTATTCTGATTACAGATATATAAAAATGAAAGAAAAAACAAATCATAAAAAGCTCAAGAGCCAGATTTACTTTCATATTATTAGAGATCGCAAATTTACCAAATCACATATTCATTCATTAAATAAATGTTTGGTGAACATCCATTAAATACAATGTGCTTCGAGAGATGCAAGCATGTATAAAATATGATTTCTCACTTTCATGATCTTGCAAATACAGAACTAAAAGAAAGGTAACATTAGGCCAGGTGTATGACATTTTTAGCATCTTATCAACAAGAGAGGTATTAATTAACTAGTGATTTTCATTCACCCAGCAAATAGCAGTATTAAAACGGTCTGTGCCCCACAAATTCTAGGCAAGCTTTTGTGTCTCAAGGATACCTTTGGCATGTAGAGATGGACTAAATAAGGATTAACTTCCCTTTATAAAAGGAAGTTCAGACATCTAATCATAACGGTGATTAAATACTGATCAATGAACATGGCAGAACTATTTCAGGATCCCTGTATCTCAACACAAATTCTTAAAACTTCTTTCTTTATAGAGGGGCAATAAGATAAAACTAAAAACCCTCAAAACTCCACTTCTAATGACTTCCTTATAACCACCTTTTTTGAAACAATTATTTACTTACATGCTCTTTAATCTATGGAAAAGTTTATTTCAATAATATAGACTAAAATGTAAAATCTTAGACAAACATTATGTTACTCAGCTCCTATGCATGTCAATCACAGACCATTCAAAGTATAATTAGACCTTTACTCACCTTACAATGTACAAATGTGCTTTTAATTATATGAAGGACTGAGGAGGGGAGACTCTGAATATTTTCCAAAATGATGGATGCCTGTGTGGCACAGACATGCTGAACACATCCTGTAAGAGCTCCTAAGAGCTGCACCATTGTCTTGGAATAAAGAAGGAAATTTCATTTAGAATATATTTTTTGTGCATTGAAAAGGTATCAGTCAGTATGCTGGGTGCTAGGATACAGCAGTGAACAAAACACATCTGTTCCTCTTTTCACAGAACTTTAGTCTATCAGAACTACAAATACTGGAACAACTATCTAGCCATTTAGAATCCTAACCCAAACTTCAAACACATGGCAGGTATTCTACGCATATCCCTTGGAAATGCAGATAGGGTAAGCTAGCTTGATGACTTGTCTTCTTCTAAGAGTTTATTATTCAGAATTCATGTTTCTATATTCACATCTTTAATTCTATAAATTTAATTCCAACATTAAGCCATTACATAACAATACATGGCTAATCAATATCAGTATAAAAATTTTGACTTTTTTTTTTTTTTTGAGACGGAGTTTCGCTCTTGTTACCCAGGCTGAAATGCAATGGTGTGGTCTTGCCTCACTGCAACCTTTGCCTCCTGGGTTCAGGCAATTCTCCTGTCTCAGCCTCCTGAGTAGCTGGGATTACAGGCACGCACCACCATGCCCAGCTAATTTTTTGTATTTTTAGTAGAGACGGGGTTTCACCATGTTGACCAGGATGGTCTTGATCTCTTGACCTCGTGATCCACTCACCTCGGCCTCCCAAAGTGCTGGGATTACAGGCGTGAGCCACCGCGACCGGCCCAAAAATTTTGACATTCTTTAAGCTCCCTCTCTCTCCAGCTTTCTAATACATTTGACTTACTTGTAAAATATTCTTTAGAGTGGTCTGGATTTCCAAATTTTGGCTTGACAGTCCTCTGGCTTGACTGGTTAATTCATACATCATGTCATCAAATAACTTCACAGTCTGTAAAAACAAATCAAGTAATAAACAGGAATAAGATAAATCACTAGAAAAGACAAAACTTTAAAGAGAAAACACAACGCAATGATTTGATTGTGCATTAGTAATATCCATGGACTATCATCTGCTTAACAATTGTACTTAAGTACAAAATTTGGAGAAAAAGTATTTTTACAATACACTCCCCCCAAAAGCCTCAAACAGAAATTTATTTTTCATTTCTGTGGTTTGAATATATTTAATAGCATCAATTTTTAAAAAAAATAACTCAAAGTTCATATTTTAGAGATGCAAAAAAATAAAAGTATTACTTTTGCACAATAAATTTTTCTTGAAGAATCCACATTCATATGGTCATATACAAGGGTATTTTCTGGAAGTAAGGAATTTGCACTGAATCCCCTATTCACTACTCACTTATTTTCTAACCAGTTTCCTTTTTTGACCCAATTCAAGATAACCTTCCTGAATTAAGGGTATAGTATATGACCTTACAACCAAGCTTTCTGTCTGTGAAAAGTTAGCCACCCTATAATGTTAATACTTGGATCTTTCTAACAATTTAAATGACCCAAATATTACAAAAATAGCAACACAGTCAACAATACAATGTAGTTAAAGAAGATATTGTTTCCCATAGGCTTGTTAACACTCAACATCCATTTTCATCTATACAACAGTTGGATCTTTTTCTAGCGGTCAACAACAAATTCTAAGAAATATTTCAGATAAAGAATCATCAAGTGACTATGAGTACAAGAAATCTGAAAGATTATGTTTAAAAGCTAAAGTTAGAAACCCATTCCAATAACAGATTATTACAAATAATCTGTTTCATTTTGGCACCAAAGTATCTTTAGTTCCCTCCATTTAAAACAAAAAAGTATGATTGTGCTTTTTAGAGAAAATGTATATCATACATATTTAAAAAGTAATAAATAGTCCGGGAATTTAATATTTAATCTTTGTTACTTGATTTTGCCAATATTCCAGCTTTTTTTAAAATTGAGGGTTCCATCATTCTGTCACCCAAACTGGAGTACAGTGTTTTTAAAATACAAGAGCATTTAAAATTGACTACAAATAATTTAAATTCAATTAATAAAATACCCATAAAATCTGAAAATATAACAGTTTTTAATTGCCTCATGATCACACTAACACCATTATGGTCTCACATGACATCTATTTACTGCTTATTTTTATTTTGAATACATTTGTTATATTAGAAAAACAGAGCTATAATAAATAATAAATTATCTAAGACTGAGGCTAGATTCCTCACATCACATATTTTCAGGTAATAGTATTATACCTTTGGTAACACTTGTGAAAAGAAAGTCTGTTCCAATGTCAGGTGGTTCATATGAGGTAAAAACATTTCTACAATAATTTTCAAAATTTCTGTAAAGCAAATAACATATTTTATAAAAATATTGTCACGTCAGTCAACAAAGGCCACTGCCCTTTATTTAATGCAAGAATACTACCAATTAAAGTTTGTTACACTTTCTAAATACCATATTCTATGTAGAGAAACTATTATCTAATAGACAAAAAAAAAAAAAGAGAGAGAGAAAGGAAACAACCTACATATTTAACAACTGTGGGCTAAATAGCTGTGTACATCTACTGAATAGGATCTGCCATCATTAAAATGACATTTTAAAACATGGAAAATGTTCAAAATATAGTTACACAAAAAGTTTCCAAAATATAACACCAATATAGATAAACATGTACAAACAATGATGGATAAGCTGGCAGGAATATATGGAATGAAATTGTTGTCCTCAAAATCTTAAACCATTTCAGATCAGCAGATGTTTTGTTATCTTTTCTGTTTTTCTACACATATCTTATTTTTCTACGTTTCATCTTTCTCTACATGTTTCATATTCATGTCCACAATGAACATGAATAACTTTTATACTCATGATAAAAAGAAATTTACTTAAAAAAAATTATGCCACACATGGTGGCTCGCACCTGTAATCCCAGCACTTTGGGTGGCTGAGGCAGGAGGATTGCTTGAGACCAGGAGTTAAAGACCAACCTAGGAAAGATGGCAAGACCTCATGTCTACCAAAAAATAAATAAATAGAAAATTAGCCAGGCATAGTGGCAAGTGCCTGTAGTCTCAGCTGCTTGAAAGGCTGAGATGAGAGGATTGCTTGAGCCTGAGAGATGGAGACTGCAATGAGCTGTGTTCACACTACGACACTCTAGCTTTGGCAACAAAGCAAGACCCTGTCCCTCCAAACAAACAAACCAAAAATTAGGCTGAGCATGATGGCTGAGACTTGTTAACCCAGCACTTTAGAAGATGGAGGCAGGAGAATAGCTTGAACCCAGGAGTTCAGCTGCCTGAGCTATGATCGCACCACTGCTCTCCAGACTGTGCAACAGAGCGAGAACTTGTCTCAAAAACAAACTTTGGGGCCAAGTACAGTGGCTCACACCTGTAATCCCAGCAATCAGGAAGGCTGAGTAAAGCATACAGTTAAAACAGGAGGATCACTTGAGCTCAGGAGTTTGAGAACAGCCTGGCCAACATGGTAAAACTCCATGTCTACTAAAAATACAAAAATTAGCCAGGTGTGGTGAAGCATGCCTGTAATCCCAGCTACTCGGGAGACTGAGGCAGGAGAATCACCCAGCCTGGAAGGTGGAGGTTGCAGTGAACCAAGATCACACCAATGCACTCCAACCTGGGCAACAGAATGAGACTCCATTAAAAGAAAAAAGAAAACAAAAATTAGGCCCCATTACACAGTGTAGATTCAAATTATAAGCGAATATTCCATAATCAAGTGAAATGTAAATAGAAAAATCTAACGCAAAATATGAATACACTGAGCAGTCTAGTCTTAACCCTCTTCCGACTGAAAGAGTAAATCTCATCAAGTAAGACTGATGAAGACATGAAAATGAGAAAGTCAACTTCCTCCAAATAAATTTGTTATCACCTAGATAAACAGCTTTTGGCAACTTAGAAAGTATTTTCAAAATGATACTAAACACATTAGAGGCTGATGGTTTTTCAGCAGACTGCAAATCATATTTTATATAGGTCTAAGCATAACAAGTAACATTTAATATTTACAATGTGTTTATACATACATCATCAACAAACCATTTTTGGTATTTATCCAAAATGTAATTTAAAACTTTTAAGAGCTGAAATTCAAAGGAATTTGTTCAAGTAACTGTAGGTTTAAGGCTATAACACAGAAAACAGTTAAATTTCGAGGGAATACAAAACTGTTCCATTAACGTATGTGCGGACTCAGACCTTAACATCGAAGTAAATCATACAGTTCAAACAATTTTACTTACGAATATGCTCAATCCAACTGTCAGAATGTTGAGACAAAGAGTAAGATAATTAAGGAAGATCTACTATCATAGTAATAGGATATTCATTACTCAGTATAAACTTAAAAAAAAAAAAAAAAAAAAAACCCTTCTGAAGTTTAAGCAATGACCTGTAAGAGACTGGAACTAGACTCAAGTTACTGGCTTAATTTTGCCTTTAAAAACTTAAGGTTTATTAGATAAACAGTATTGTGGAAATATATTAAAGAAATATTTTGAAAACTGCCCAGGGACAAACTTGCCTTTTCAAACTATGCAGTCATAAAATATTTTTGACAGATAAGAAACAGTGCTACAATAATCCACAGGCTAATGATTTATTTATTTTAGAGAGAGGGTCTCACTCTGTCACCGAGGATGGAATGCAGTGGCATGATCATACCTCACTGCAGTGTCAAGCTCCTGGGCTAAAGTGATCCTCCCATCTCAGCCTTTCAAAGAGCTGGGATTACAGGAGTATATATCACTATGCCCAGTTTGGACTCCCGATTTCTAGTACAAGAAAGAAATTTCTCTTTCCTCAACAGTTCTATAGTACTTAATTTATACCTGTCTTAAGTCACTCATCACCTTCTGTCTTATTTTCATATTACTTGCATACCTATCTTACCAACCTTAACAGACTGAAATTCTTCTGCACATAGCAGATTACAAATACATGACAATATTCTCCATATGCACCATCAAGAATAACTGTTACAAATGTTTTACTGTAAAAACACTAAGAATCATCAAAGAATGTAAGAAAAATTAATAACCTGGCTGGGCGCGGTGGCTCACACCTGTAGTCCCAGTACTTGGGAAGCTGAAGGAGGTAGATTACAAGGTCAGGAGTTCAAGACCAGCCTGGCCAACATGGTGAAACCCCATCTCTTTTGTATCTTTGTAAAGATACGAAAAATTAGCTAGGCATGGTGGCACGTGCCTGTAATCCCAGCTACTCGGGAGGCTGAGGCAGGAGAATCCCTTGAACCTAGGAGGCAGACGTTGCAGTGAGTCAAGATCAGGCCATTACACTCAAGCCTAAGCAACAGGGCAAGACTCCATCTCAAAAAAAAAAAAAAGAAAAATAGAAAAAAGAAAGATAAAAATGAACAACCCATAATCCTACCACACTAATACAAGAATTCATTCCTCTTCTGAAATCTTATTTTTTAATAGCAGTAATCAAAATGAGGTCATTAACTCAAACTTGAGTTCAGTACGGTAGAATTGGCCTCATGAAAAAATTTCAGTAAAGCTCAAAAATTTGCTAGCTGTTCCAAAATTGGTCAGTTATAACTACACAGACATGCAAATAAGGCCTGGAAAATAATATGTAAAATGCAAAACATGAAAATGACTTTTTGGGTAATGGAATTGTAGATATATTGCAAATTTTTCATTTGTTGAAATAGTGAAACTAAAATACTACAAGCTGAAAAAAAAGTATTGTCTAATTAGACTCCCAGGTATTTTTAAAACATGAAATATTTTTAGCCCTTTAATGCTCACTACGTGTCAGGCACTATTCTAGGTCGTGCAGATAACGCTGTGAAGAATATCAACTTCCTGCCTTTATGAATTTTGCAACACAATGTGGAAAATATAAAAGCAAACAAGGGCATTTCTTTCAACGATAATGCACTTTTTAGAAAACTGAACAGGTCAATGTGATACAAGTTTAAGACTGGGTTTGAGTGAACTACCTAAGATTGAAGGCTCTGAAAAAGTCCCTCTAAGGAGGTGACATTTGGGCCAAGACATAAACATAAACAATGAGATATACAAATGGCTCGGAGAACAAACCAGGCTAAGCACAAAGACCCTGTGGTAGGTAAGCCTAATGTATTCATGAATAGAGTGTAGTTAACTAGGTATGAGAGAAGGGCAAGGCATAGATCACCTGGAGCCTTGAAGGTAAAGTGGTTTTAACAGGGAAATGACATGATCTACATTTTTCCCTCTGAACTTTTTTGGAATAATGAATTATGAGTGGAAACAAGGAAACTCTTAACAATACTCCCAAGTGAGAGGTGATAGGAATTTGGTTTCAGAGTGGTAGCAATGAGGGTGAAGATAAGTGGATTGATTCAAGACATAGTTTGGTGGCCGGCTGCTGTGGCTCATGCCTGTAATCCCAGCACACACTTTGGGAGGCCAAGACAGGCAGACACGGAGTCAAGAGATCGAGAACAGCCTGACCAACATGGTGAAACCCCATCTGTACTAAAAATACAAAAATTAGCCGAGTATGATGGCTCGCACCCATAGTCCCAGCTACTTGGGAGGCTGAGGCAGGAGAATCCCTTGAACCTGGGAGGCAGAGGTTGCAGTGAGCCAACATTGTGCCACTGCACTCCAGGCTGGCGACAGAGCGAGATGCCATCTCCAAAAAAATTTTTGAAAAGACGACTGAGAAGCATCCCAGCAACCCGACCACAGCCGGTCTTCCCTGAACACCATGAACCACACTGTCCAAACGTTCTTCACTCCTGCCAGCACCAACTGTCCCCAGAACTATGAGATGCTGAGGAGCATGAGGTGGATGTGCTGGGGGCACCCCACAACCCTGTGCTCCCAGCATCCACTGTGATCCACATCCGAAGCGAGACCTCCATGCCCGACCATGTTGTCTGGTCCCTGTTCAACACCCTCTTCATGAACTCCTGCTGCCTGGGCTTCATAGCATTCGCCTACTCCGTGAAGTCTAGGGACAGGAAGATGGTTGGTGATCTGACCAGGGCCCAGGCCTATGTCTCCACCGCCAAGTGCCTGATCATCTGGGCCCTGATTTTGGGTATCATCATGACCATTCTGCTGATCATCATCCCAACACTGATTCTGCAAGCCTATCAGTAGATCCAGAGGAATCATCCTGGCTAGGGGCTCTGCCCGTGACCTGTCTCCCACATACTCCAGCTTCCATTCCTCACCCTGCCCCCAGCCAAGTCCTGTATCACCCCTTAACCTTCACACACTT